CTGTGCAGATCACAGTAAAATGCATTGACGGTCACAAACTTTTCTGACAGTGTCTTCCTTATCCTCAAACTTTGAAAATGTATTTTTAATTAAATCCCCATAAATATGCAGCATATGCCTCAAAAACATGGAAATATGGGCCACTAATCCATGGGCTCAACACATCCGGTGGTCCATCCTTATCTCTCCACCCATATATAACTACTTAACTAGCCAAACACCATTTAGAGTCAACCTATTTTCCGTACCACCGGCTATGAATTTTGGACCTTATGGGGGTTTTTTTTTTTTGAGTGGAGAATTTTGGACCTAATTAGGTGCACGTGTGGACCTTCGGTGGTTTGGGCTGTTGGCCTGGCCCGTTTGGTGTTCTGGGCAAGAGAGACACAGCACGTTTGGTTCACGGAATGGCACAGACTGGAATCATCCGATCCAGCATCCGGACCTAAAAGGATTGTTAGGTTTGGCGAAGGGAACCAACCCGTCCATCATGAGATTGCACCCTCCGCTAGTATATTCACGGCATCAACTCGTTCCTCTGGAAATCATCGGATGAACCCACGCCGGACGTGCTGATGCCGGACGGAACGTAGACAGGGTGGGTCATAAAGATGACGGAGGAAGACGACGTCCGTTGTCGATTGACCGCGCCGCCGTGACGCACAGCGGTTGATCGCCGGAGTTGAGCTTCGCACCATCGTTTTCAAATCCGAGACTCCGAGGGCATGGGAAGAGGAGGATGTACGTAAATGAAGCTAGGTTTGCATTGGGGTGGGGTGCTCACGGTCATGGGTTGCAGGTTGCTTACCTTCGTTGTTTGCAGCTCAGAGTCGGAGGTGGAGCAGATCGGCCGGGCGGCCGGACTTGAGTTCAAAGCAGAGAGAAGTGAACCGCCCGGAGTGATGAGAGGCGAGCAGTGGATCGGAGCTGCGCGGTGTTGGCCGGAGAAGATGGTGCGTCGTCGTCAGTGTGTGGTGTGTTTGTTATATGCCAGTGAGACTCTCGTGACGACGTTTTTCTCATCGCGTCGGCCGGCAATGGCTGACCTCACATATTCTCCCCACCTCTTTCTTCTCCTCCGATCCCCTTTCTTTCCAGGAAACGTCTTGACGACACGAGCAGACAGGCACAGTCCCATCCGCGTCCATGGAAGTCAACTGTCCTGCATACACGAGACCAGATGCATGCGCGCAGATGACGCATCTTGCTCTGTTCTATATAGCCGACAGGGCTGCTATGCCCAGCACCGTGTTTGTGGGATCGTTGGTCGGCTACAGTACAGGGCGTGCAATAATTTGGACTTGCGGCCGGCGTTGCGCGCTGGCCACATGCAGCTAGCGTCCCTGGATAAAGTTAAATTTGACCCTACAGGCATGTACTCCAAAACGTTTAGAGTATTACTGGATATGTAGAGTAAAAAAATGATGTTACGTCTCTCTCCTTATTGGCACACATCCGTATGTGTATCTAAAATAGATATGCATAGGACACATGTCCTCTCTTTTTTTTTTTTACGAAAATATCGGACACATGTCCTTTAGGTCAAATAAATAGTGTGCAACATCCTTGTTGCACGCCGACGATATTCATTACGATGAAAATCTGGATCCATATCCAAACGGCTAGCATGTCCGCATCACGCGATAATCATTCATTCGGACAACTCGAGGATCGATTGGCTTAGCCGGTTTCAACAGATTGACCATGAAGAATCTAGAAATGCTTCTCGGGAAGGAGCACGTCTGGGAGGGAACACTTGGGGCTGTTCTAGATCGGTAAGGACACCTTAAATGTCCAAATGTCATCGAGAAACTTGTAGAATAGAAGATATACGGGTTGGCCACTACTACAATAACTAGCTTAGGAGACACGGGTGTCCGAGATGGGTGTCCCAGATGGGATGCCTGCGAAAGTACCCACCCAACCCATTAAAAACACTAACTACATTCCTTAACCGCATCGCTTGCTAGCTTTATCTCCTTCACACTGACGCCACCTCATCTGACACTTAGTCTCCCCACCCTCTCGATCTGCTCCACAGCTCGGTCTATCTCCTACACCCTCCCACGACCACTGCTGCCCCCTCCACCATAGTATCCTTGCCACCACCGCCCCTCGACATGCTAGATCCAGCCGCCTCCCAAGCACCACCGGGCCTGTCAAGTGCTCCCTATCGCAAGATCCAGAGTGATGCATCATCGCCACCATCTCGCCCAAGCACAATATAGTCCTCGGCCCTTCAATTCCCCGTCTTCCCTCGGTCTTCTACATGATGCGCGTAAAAGGAGAGCAACGAGATCCGGCCCGGTGGGTAGGAACGAGAGGCAGCAACCCAGCGAATCAGGCCTTGTCCCACCTCCACCGAAGGTGCTTCCATCGTGGAGGTCCACCTCCACCTCCATTGATGCCTGGCCTTCGATCTGATCCGCTTGTTTTTGGTTGTTTGATTTGAAAGTGGAGGTGCTATTTGACTTGAAGGTGGCAACATGGATGGCACAGACGAGGAAGATGTGGTGGTGCATTCTTGATGATGACATGGAGGTCGGCAAAGATCATGCCAAGGGTGCGGCATGTACTAGATCCAACCTCTTGTTGCATGCATTGAAGTGTGGTGGTGGCAAGCATGAAAGGAGAGCCTTCCTACCTCAGGGCCAAGGGCAACATGGCGGTAAGCATGGCAATGGGGTGGTTTCTCGGTGGGTCCCCGTGGGTTCTGGACCCGATGAGGGGTGGGGTCGGGGTTGGGGGAAAATTTCCCACTGCGGGTCTTAGGTTCAGGGACTCGAATTCTAGCGGTGCTAGGGCCGGGTCATGACCCATGGGTGCCTAGTAGGGACCTGAACTTTCGTAGCCCATATAAACTTAGAAGGCCTAGCCCACATCTCAGAGCAACAACCCTAAGTATATAATAAGCAACAATCTGTCGACTAAATATCGTTGGCAGTCCACCGAGGGGTATATCCACGATGGTAGATTAATTGATAGAGGTGCGCGTGATTAAGAACTAGATGGTAACAGAAATGTAGGACACACAAGATTTATACAGGTTCAGGCCGTCAAGATGACATAAAACCTTACGCTCTGTGCTATGTTGGTTTGTATTACTGGAATATGAGATCCTAAGCTAAGCCTAGGGTTTGTATCGGGGTCTGGATGACCATCACAAAATGGAGACCCCTACATAAAACTTAATGGAGGCGTTTTTGATTAAATGGGGCGAACATTGCAACCGCCTCAATCAAAGGTCACGTTAATGGTGATTTATGGAGGCGGTTGCTTTGCCCGCCTCCGTAAATCAATTTAAAAAAATGAAAGGCCACTAGCGAGCCCATTTCGGAGCCCACCGGCGAGCCCGCTCGCTCAAGACAGCCCCACCGCCGCCTAGCAGCAGCCTCCCCTGCTTGCTGTGGGGCCGCAGTGGCGCATTGTGAGCCAAGCCAGATCCGGTTTCCCAGCGCCCGCCACAACCGGATCCGCCATCCCGAAGCTGCGCTTCCACGGATCCGGCGTCCCGATCACGCCGCCACCAGATCCGCTGCCATGGAGGGGACCGCGACGCCGCGCCATGGCGCGAGGCCGCAGTGTGAGGCTCTCGATGAGTAGCGTCGTGCCGCAAGGCCGTGCCATGAGGCACAAACCGACCCAACAGAGTTTCATGACCATCTAGAGTTACAAACTGACCCAACAGAGTTTCATCCCAATAAAACCCAATTCTTCTTTATCTTCTTATAAAAACATTGCCACATCGAAAAAAAATGCTTATGTTGCAGCCTCTTAATGCAGATGAAACTCTCATTAAGGTTGTCAATCTGTCATGCTGATATTGATTTATGTTTGGTGTAGGATCTCTAGAAGGCTACTCACAAAAGTTGTGGGTCAATAAGGATTCGATTTTAGAATGGCAAGTGTGCGAAAGACCGTGTAACTATGCCAGTGGTTTAGGTTTAGATTTCCAAGACATATACTCGACTACTCGTGAGGATCTCCGTCGGCTATGCAATAGAGGTGGAAGCACATGGTGATGGTAATAAGGTTGTGGCAGGATTTCATTATGGAAGGAAAGGTAAAGGATGTGAAGACCTTTCTACTTCCTGATAACGATTAAGAATGTATCTAGAAAAAAAAGCAAAACGTCTTATATAATTTGGAATGGAGGGGGTAGCACATAATATAGATTCTTCAATAATCTAAGTATCAAAACATAGGTCTCACATATTTCTTTTCCTTACCCACACCTCACTGTTGTGGGCTCTAATAATAGTCTCATAGTAGTTCATTCGAGCCTAACTAGGAAATTGGATATTTCTCTTCTATTTCTCTCTCCTCTCTATTCCGCATAAGCAAAATCCTGAGCTATATTATTCACACTTAAACAAAATGCTAAGATCTTCCTCGCCCATAAGCATAAATGGTAAGATACATCTCTATTATAAGGTAGTTCAAATATCATTGTTGGAGCTGACCTAATCAAACAGAACCGCTCAAAGTTAGAGGATGCATGGGATGCAGTTGCTGAAACCATGAAACATATATTATGCCATGGCTTTGCAGCGCAAAAAATACATATACTCCGTACACGGAAACTAATGAAACATGCAGTATAAATATGAAGCACGGATGAGTGTACGACGGACGACACATTTGCAGGAGAAAAGAAATTACGGAAGAGATCAGGATTATTATGTTTGAGAGAAGCACGCATCATCAGTAATTCACAAAATTAAGGAGAGCTAATAGGAAGGAGGAAGCATCGTCGTAGTGCTAAAAAGTACTATTTTAATTTAAAAACAAAGCAGGTCATTATCAAGCTAACGCCGATGGCAGGTTCAACGAATCTATAACGAGAAATTAACAGCTACAGCTAGGCTTAGCCGTGTTAATTGGGAGGAGGACACGAACTTCCGTTGACTTTGATTGATGCGGCAAGCTAGCTGTACGAGCCTGGTGGACCAGGTCCCCAGTTACCAAGGGCGGCGGTGGGAGCAAGCCGCAGTAGTAGGCTACTGGCGCCGGAAGACGTGCTCCTCGCCGGTGCGGTGGTTAACGTGGCGGATCCACCGCCCACGGCCTCCGGCGGGGTGCCTCCTTCTGTGGCCGTGCAGCTGCTGCGTGGTCGTCGGCAGGCTGGGCCCCTTGCCGACCCCGACGTGCAGCACCTCGACGCCGCCGGCGCCGATGGGGAGGTAGGCCGCGCGCACGACCCCGGTCCCGGCCGCCATCGTCCCCACGGCGGCGCGACGCCGGACGCCGCCGATGCCGGTGTCGCCGTGGCGCACCACGACCATGCCCCTCAGCGCCGGGCCCCGGCCTCGCCGTCCCCTCCAGCACGCGGACTCGGCCGCCGCGTCCAGCACGAGGAGGTCCACGATCTCCAGCCGCGCCATCGCGGACTCGGCCTCGATGTCGACGTCATTAGGTGGGGGCGTAGCGGCGATGAATTTGAGTTGCGTGTGGGGAGCAGGAAAGAAAGGAAAATTTTGGCGATGTCAAATTTTAGCGCGAAGGCTGGTGCCGCGGGCGGGCGGCAGCGGCTGGCGGCTGACGGCGACGGCGAGGCGTCCGCGTCCACGTACGGGGCGTCGACGATGAGCTGGGCGTTCCAGCCGCCGGCCATGGCGGCGACGAGCTCGAGCGAGCCGTCGGCGGAGTCGTTGGCCATCGCACGGACGCCGTCGATGTAGGCCTTGGAGGCCGTGTCGGGGCACCACACCAGCTTCATCGTCTACCGTCTCTGCTGTCCTCTCTGGATCCTGCAGCTCTTGGTGGACGGTCGATGGATTGGTTACTTGGCGGCGAAGGAAGGAAGGAATGGAAGGAAGCGACAGCGAGGGGGGAGAAGAGAAGGAAGCAGGCATAGAAAAGCGGGCGTGTGATGGAGAGGAAGTGAGCGGTGGTGGTGCGTGGATAAGCGAGAGCGGATATATGCGATGCGCCCCGCCGATCTGTGGGCTGCGCTGCGCTGAGCCGCGCTGACGCCCCGGCCGTTGACGAACGTGAACAAGGGAGCGAGCATGGCGGCAACAAAAAGGACGACGGCCGCCACTACCACTGCGACCGGCCGGGGTGAGCAGCGGACGGACGGACGGGAGGCGGCCGCTCGTGAGGGACGGACGGGATCGGTGGACACTCACGCGCTCGCAAGCACACATGCCTAGTACACCGGCATCTCAGAGAGAGGGAGGCATGGCTTTCGGTGGTACACCACATGCCCAGCCGGAACACATGAAACATGGCCACGCGCGCTCCTCATTCCATGAGCGTTACGTCAGGAACATCCTCCGTCTACATTCCTGATTCGGGAGCATTTACATTCCTCCCATGTTATAAAAACAACACTACATATAAGCTCTCAGTTCATGTTCTATGTGTCCCGTTCCCTTGTGGAAACATGGCTGCTCATCACATCATCGTCTCTTATTGACAGGCTCGTTGTTGCTCGGCGCTTGACAGACCAACATTCAGTTTGCACGCGCCGATTCATCTATCATCTGGGATGCATGGTGATGCGGTCTGTCTGGTGTTCCTTTCCCTCATGTATGAAGATGTCATGACTTGTACGGAGTTTAGATTTTCTCCGTTCCTCCTAAACAATTGTGGTGTTAGCAATAGCATGTTCATTCGACACATAAACAAATGGGTACAAGTGGAACCTTCTTTCGAGATATTCAAGACTTACGTTCACTTTGATTTTTCTGCTTAATCCAATGATATCGTGTGGACCTCTTCCTAACTCAGCAAGGTTACGGTTAGGGTTCCAAGGCTAACCTGACGCGGACTCAAAGGGATCACCGGTGGAAGGTTGGCCTGGTGATGTTGCGAGGGGGCGGTGGTGGCTGGGCGGACACTTGGGGAAGATGATTGAGCGGGGTAAGGACAAGGAATGACATTGAGAGCCTTACAATCTGCACCATGTTAGTGCGGTGGCGATCATAGGCAATGGCGGATTGGAGGCGGTGGAATTGGGCGAGAGACGATGGCGGTAGGGCGCTGTCAGAGTCAGATGTGGGAGTGGGGGTGGGGGGGGGGCTGTTGAGGGGCTCAAGCGAAGATGAAGATGACGTCTAGGAGGAGACACATCTGATGGATTTGAGGACAGAGCCATGGTGGACAGCGTCGGAGTCGCCGGGGAGGCGGAGGTGAGGGGTCAAGCGGCACGGGAGGGAGTGGGGAGGGAAGTAGATTGAGTCGGTGAAGACAATTAAAAGACAAGAATTGATGATGATAAGATGGAAAGATTCTGGACGCTTTGATCGATCTGGATGCTATATTATAGTAGATCTATAAGGGATAAAAAGATCGAGCGATGATGCTTGCTCTTGAAATAGTTTTCGTTGTTGTCTAGATAGAACTTACCAAATTGCACGAGAATTCCAAATAAACTAAAAACAGGAGTTGTACATCTGTTCTCGGAAGCATACACAACTTCTTCTCGTTACCCTCTGTAATCCCATTTGCTTTGGAAATCACGTTTTCGGCACCGTAATTGACGCCGTGAACCCACCCACATCTGATACTGACATGTACCATGTACGACGTGCGACGAAACTGTCGGTCACATCACGGACGCAGGGGCAGACGATAAAATTGACAAGTCTGACACAGAGAGAACGATAAAATTGACAATCAGCATGTTCGCTTATAGGTTTCAGTCAGCCCAAACTAACCAGTCAATAGTGTTTTTCTTTCAAAAAAACCAGCACCAGCCACCTCAAACCAGCATCAACCCCAACCAGCGAACAGGCCCAATAACAAAACGGATAAAAAACGCAGCTGCTGCTGGGTCGTGGGTCTGGCCGTCTGGGTGTACTTATTATCTATCCGCAGCTGCTAGATCGAGATAGGTGAGCCGAGCCATCGAACGACGTGTGTGACAGGGATTTTGGTTATCAGCTTCACCCACAAAAGTCAACTCTGCATTTCGAGAGATGACCGATGCATGATGCCATACGGGTCAAGTGCAACTGGATGAAGGTACAATATATATAACTAGTATGTGCCTTTGTATATATACTGCACGATTTTCCATGCTAGATGACCAAGTACATACTGATAATTGAGTAGTTTTATATATCGATCTAGTTGATTTTTTAGATATTATGGGCTTTAGTGTGGCCTAATTGGCACTAGGTCCCTCAGCTCATTTTGTATACTTACAACTTGGCTTATTACGCAGCTTATTGAGGAGTTATATAGGTTGGATGGTTTTTACCATAAGCAACCTATTGACACGCGCGCTATACATAGCTAGTGACATGTTTTTTTTTTGTTCTTGTGAAACATACAAATAAAAATACTTTTTTTTGGGTGAACGATGTTAGACCTTTTCATTTAAAAACCATATATTTATTGCACGAAAACAATCTTGGAATGCAGAAAGGAGTGGGTAACTACCGATGAAGAAACTATTTTTCCATTACTGTACACCGATGCCTGCCGCAGTCAAAACAGCGACAAGACGCCACACCTCCACTTTATGTACTGTCTTGTTTACTTACAGTACTTTGCACCTTGATCCAGTATATTCGTGCCACCGCCAATTTGTAGATTGTTTATCGGATTGAAATCGTTTCCGTCCTCGTCATGGGAATATCGGCCGGGAGTTCCACTAACGTATATATGAGCATATAATAAGACAAGACACATGCCTAGATTATAATTATAAACACGCTGCTGCTTATTAGTACTGTATATGTTAATATAAGGAGTATGAGGTTATATATATGAATGCGTGCAGAGCATGCGGTTGACGATTAGCACACTCACTGAGAAGTATTGTGTTAAGCGAAACACCTAGCTAGCTAAGTAGTAGGTCAAGGGTCCATTCAGAAATCATGCATCAGATTTGACAATACAAACAAGTCGTTCTGAACAAGTAATGCATTAGTATACACCTTGCTAGCGCCCAGCTGCCGTCCGCCTGGCCACAGTTCTAAGTCTTATCAGCTTGCCATCCCAAACGATCGGAGCAATATTAGGTGGCTGTGGAGAACATCGATCGCAAATGCCATGTCCGCGCAGCGTAGGTGGAGGTATAATAAGACAAGACACATGCCTAGATTATAAGGATAAATGCTGCTGCTGATTTAGTTTTCAAATATTAATAGATGTACTATATATATGATACATGCAGAGCATGCGGTTGACGATTAATTAAATCATGCATCCGAAACACCTAGCAAAAACAACTTAAAAAACACTTGAAACCATTCAAAAGATATATGCAAGATCTGAGATGCAAAAAGTCGTTTTGAAAACATATGCATTAGAATCATATAGACGCGCCCTTGCAATATACGACATCAAAAATCGACAGAGAAACACGGGGAACAAAAGCTTGCAACATATATATGTACAACCATTGCAACATGGCGGAACATCTCGATCTACTTTTTTGCAATATCCATATGAAACACTTAGCAACATACATTTGAAGGTAGATAAAACACTTGAAACATGCATCGATTGCAACATGTGCTTAAAAACACTTGAAACATCTACTAGTTGCATCTAGATAAAAATGGATTTGCAAACATAGCGTGAATCATATAGACACACTTGCAAGAGCTCGAAAAAAAAGTGGATGAAATTGGGAACCGGTGTGGAGCAACATATATATATACGACCATTGCAACATGGCAACATCGGATCTACTTTTGCAATATTCATATGAAACACTTTGCAACATACTGCAAAACACGGTGAAACAATTGAAACAAGCGATTGCAACATGCGGGCAAAGCGCAACATCTACTTGTTGCTTGGGCGAAAATGGAGGCTCGTCGGCGTGAATCGGCTCGGACGTCGGCGTGGTCCGTCGATGCATGAATGCCGAGCATTACCGCATTAGTATGCGTCTTTTACTTGCCTCCTGTTTGCCGATCATGGTACAGTGTTTGCAAAGCCTATGTCCAAACCGACTATGACTTTTAGAAAATCCATAGATGAACTGGCAATATAGATGAACAAAGCGGTGGGCCTCCATCCCAAATTGTAAGTCATTCCAAGAATCTTGGAGAGTCAAACTTTTTCAAGTTTGACTAAAATTATAGAGAGAAACACAAAGATTGATGACATCAAATAGGTATAATATGAAAATATAACTAATGAAGAATCTAATGATACTTTACTTGGTATGATAAATATTATTATTTTGTTATATAAATTTGGTCAAACTTGTCCAAAAACTTTGACTTTAGAAAATCCATAGATGAACTACAATATAGATGGACAAATGTATGGACTAGTTGGTTAATTAACGCTAACCGCGAAATTTAGCTCGGTCCAGGACAGAAAGGCACACCAAAAAAAAAACCCCCCGAGGGAAATGGAAGAGGAGGAGGCTCGGGTCTAGCCAGCTGACCCACCAGAGGCCCACTGTTCTGCCACAGAGTGAAAGCGGCGTTAGGACCAAGACAAATAGCCCATCACAGCCCACACTCACCGCCGCAACAAGCCCATTCGGGCCCAACCTGGAACCCCGTTGGCGGCAACCCCTGCATAACCCCGAGAGTTCGCGCTCCGTTACCCCAAAATTTCCCCATTTCCTCCCCTCCCCTTCCACCCGCCGCCCGCTCCCCGCGCCGAGAAGGGAACCCCAGCCGCCGCCACCGCCGCCGCGCAGCACGCCGCCCATGGACTCCTCGTCGGAGAACACGGGCGCGCCGCCGGAAGAGGAGCAGCCCCAGGCCCCGCCGACGCCGAACCCGGAACCTACCGAGGCGGCGGCGCCCGGCGAGGCGGAGGAGGAGCCGCAAACCCTAGAGCGGGCGCAGGAGCTCTTCGACAGGGGCGCAAAGGCCATCGAGGACGAGGACTTCGTCGAAGCCGTCGACTGCCTCAGCCAAGCGCTCGAGATCAGGTTAGGGTTTCCTTTCCCGCTCCCATTTCCCTCCACATCTACAACATTTAGCTGTGAAGCGACTCCGCGTGTTGGCGGATTTTTGGAGCAATTGGCGGTCGGTACGGTGCGTTTCTGTCGAGATCTGCTGGTTTTCGCATCAGCGCTTGTGTGGTTCGGGGATTCGGTCCACTAGGGTTTAAGGGGTTCTGCGGCAAACTGCTTAAAAGGGGTGTTTTCTTTTCGTTTCTGTCGGTGAGTGAGATGCAGAGAGTGAGAGTCTGTCGTTGTCAGGGATCTATTGGATTTGGCTCCGAGCCCTGTGGTGGTTTGTGGAGCAACACTTGGCCATGGTTTGTCATGGTGCGAAAACTGTGTTCACCATCAATTGAAGTGTACTGTGGTCTACAATTGTTAAGGAAAATGTGTTTTCTGTCTGAGATTATGCAAACATTTCGGAAGTTAATCAACAATGAACTAACTTAGGACCTTGTATCAGTAACTTGGTTCATAAAATCTCTGTATCTATCAGTTTCAGTTGTGCTGCTATATCTCGTTTTACATTGCCTCTCATGGCCTGATGTAAGTGATGTTAATAACCGTACACTAACAATTTTTTGCATTCATTGCCCACTAGGACTTCACATTATGGAGAGCTCGCGCCGGAGTGTGCCAGCACATACTTCAAATATGGATGTGCCCTGCTATACAAAGCTCAGGAGGAAAGTGATTTTTTGGGAAATGTTCCCAAGAGCGTGCCAAATGAAGAATCAGTGAAGAGTACAGCTTCAAAAGATGATAGTGGAACCTCAAAGGTCTCTGGTACCAATGTGGAGGATGCCGTGTCTTCGGAGAAAGCTGATGCTGAAGAAGGTATATGCTTACCACGTACATCTAGCAAAGTTCACTGAATCACTCTTTAATTCTGTCTCTTTATGATCTATTACCAAACACTAAGTTTGATCTCTTTCCTTGCTCTTCTATACCTACTAAATATTCTATAGAATGCGGTCTTAAACTCCTAATCAGTAGCGTACTCCTGTGTGTTTGCAAAGAACTAATGTCTTCAATCACTATCAGCATTCCATAGGATTCCATTTCATTGAAGTGCTATTTTTTTAACATTATTTGTGCTATTTTAGTATTTGAGTAGGAGATAGCATATATAAGTTTGTTTATATCATTATATGTTGATGATATTTCAAATTGGACCTGATTTAATCTATTTTCTTGTATACTTGTATATTGAGTGAATGAGTGCTAACTATGGAGTGTTACAACTCATGTTTTTCATTGCAATCAGCATTCAGCTGGTTCATCAAAGTGGTTTGTTTTTCTTGAACAATTTTTGCGTTGCCTTTAGTAGGTGTGTTAGGTGATAACTGATAACTAGAAAATCCTTTGAATGCTCATGTATTTTAAATAGGTCTGATTTTAGATATTTTATTATAGATTTGTTATTAAATGTCTTCTGTACATGAAGAGATGCTAGGTTAATCAGATATGTATCTTTGGCGCACTTGTGTCATTTGATTCTTATGCAACTAGCTGTGTAATCATTTTTCTTGCATGGGCCAACTTTTACTAAGATTCCTGTCATATCTATTTGCTTTCTGTTCCTGATGTATTTGTTTCTTTTAACTAGCAGTCCAATGCTAACAATACCTAGGATCAATGTTTTCAAGTCGTCCAATCGAACCTAGTCGCCATGGGACCAACCAGGAGACTAATCGTGATTAGTCGTCGACTAGGCCGATTAGTCGAGCCTAGTCGACCCCTGATCGCCCTATATATCAGGACATATATACCTACTATATATATACCTATATATACTATATAGTATACACAATAAAGCAAGCATCAAGACTACATTAGTGTTTAGCTGGTGACTTACTTGTGGGAGTTGTTTTCTTCTCTTTTCTGCCATGTCCAGAGGTCATATTCCTGTCTCAAACTCGATTTCTTTGCTGACTTGCTGCTGGAAGCCTAAAATACCAAAGAAGACCATAATTAGCAACACTAGTGTAGTCTTGATCTTGACACAGCGTAACAGCAGCACTGCTGCATTAGCAAGCACTGCTGCAGTAGCAAATAACTAGAATTTAGCAGTTAGCACATAGCAGACCATAGCAGCCACACAGCCAGCATATTACATAACCAAACAAGTTCAGTACACATAAGCTAAAGTATTCAACACAGAGTCACAAACATTGACATTTAACAGTCCAACAAAAGTAGGCAACTAGCCATCTAATTAAGCAAATCAACATTAAAATTGAAGCCTCCATCTCCATCTCCAGTTGGTCCATCTCCAGTTTCAGTTGGTGCAGATTCTTCATCCTCCTCCATTGCTATTGCTGAATCTACATGCTGATCTTGGTCTTCATCATCAACTTCATCAATATCTTGAGTCACTGTGTTCCTTGGACGCTTCCTGTTCCTAGCATAAGTACGCCTCACAGGGGCAGCAACAGCAGCACGAGTAGCAGCAGCCCTAGGCAAGTTACGTCCCTCTAGACCCTGAGTTGCACCAATAGCCTCATCCACAACAGCTCAAGTCATAGCATCGCCACCGCCTTCCTGAACTGGTTCTGGTTCACAATTTTCATTGACCCATTCATTTTCCCAATGAAATTCATCAAGCAAGAGTGGATTGCATCTCTTTCCTTTGGAACCCAGCTCTCTAATTTTTTTAAATCTGTTTTCCATCTTGCGGTTGTAACTGACATATACCAACTTATTTAACCTTTGGTGCTCTAATCGGTTTCCCTTTTTTGTATGGACCTACACAAAATATATTGCAGAATCACATATCAATATTACTACCATACTTAATTACTAAGTAGTAGTACACTAGCACTTACAGCAGAAAATTCACTCCAACTACGCTCGCATCCAGATGCAGCGCAACAAAGGCTAACAATCCTTTTTGCTAAACATTCTAACCCTAACAGGCCAAACTGCAAGCCCAGTAGCCCACATGTCCGCCCAGTTAAACAGGCCCAAAAACAGAGTAACCAAACTGGTCGTCCCTGTCCTAGTCGGACGACTAATCGTGATTTCTCATCGACTAATCGGACGACCAGCTTTCTGGTCGAGCTAATCGAGTCGGACCTCCTAATCGAACACCAGGGACCGATTAGGACGAGTAATCGCGATTAATCGGACGACTTGAAAACATTGCCTAGGATGAATTAATATTGAGTAAATTGATGGTTATGTTACATCTGTTTTCTTTCTTACTGTGATAAATATTGATATAGTTCATTATTAGGTCAAAACTCAAATGGCAAAGATCAGGAGAATGGGAATGGTGAAGTTGAGAAGGATGATGATGATGACGACGATGATGAGAAGATGGGAGATGAAGAGGATAATGATTTGGATCTTTCCTGGAAAATGTTGGACATTGCTAGGGCAATAGTTGAAAAGACCCCAGATAATACTATGGAGAAAGTAAAAATATATTCTGCTCTTGCTGAAGTCGCAACAGAAAGAGGTAGTCACAGTTACTTTGTGTTGCACTCCTGCATTTTGAATTTTTGATTGGTGGTGGTCTCATGGCTAACTTTTAATTTCAGAGGACATAGACAACTCACTCACTGACTACATGAAAGCTTTATCCATGTTGGAGCATTTGGTTGAACCTGATCATCGTCGAGTTGTGGAATTGTATCCTCTTTGTCATAGTTACACTATTTTTTGTGCTGAAGAGAAATATTACTACCTACAGTCATAATTACATGACATTAGGATCATCAAATTGACTTGAATGTAATTGTTGTGTCATATAATAATGACTGGAGCCTGGAGGTAGTATTATTACATAAATAAGCATCTGCAACCTGGTTTTTGGGGCTTGCATCGCTCTATTGGTCATATCTTTACTTTAATGGTTTTTGTAGCTTGTTAAACTTAAGAATTTGGGTTGGTAAAGAATGCCTTTTTAATAGTCAATAAATTAGTTCAGTTCTTTTGGTCGAATGCACATATGTAACGTTATTTACTTGAATGCACATGTTACTTTAGATGGTATGATTGCATGCCAGCATCAGTTTGTTGTTGTTCCTTTGTTAATTGCCTTAATCCAGTCTTAGAAACTTCCGCATATGTTTGGTTTATGAGCTAGTTTCCAAGATTGGAGATGCGATTCCGTACTGTGCAAAAGCGATTTCGCTATGCAAGTCGCGCATACAGAGCCTGAAAAGTTCCAAGGATGCTTTGTTGGCTGGTAAAGATGGTGATGCATCTGCTGCTGAGGCTGAAGGAGGCTCAGAAAAATCTGACACTGAAAAAGAGCTAGAGCAGCTTACTAGCATATTGCCTGATCTTGAGAAGAAGGTAAACTGTTACAGATGCAATTTATTTTGCTTCATGGGCCTGGTACTGTATCAGTGATGAAGATGATTTATCTTGCTTCTAAGGACTAATGACCTCTAATTTGTTGTGCATTCAGCTTGAGGACCTGGAACAAGCAAACCCAAGCCCTGCCATGGATGAGATGTTGAAGACAATTGCATCCAGGGTAACTGACGCGATGCCAAGAGCTGCATCTTTTACTTCTTCCCAGATGGCAACCTCGAGCAATGGATTCGACTCCTCGGTTCTGTCTACGGCAGCGACAACCGGAAGCACTGGAAGCACTGTGACTGACCTTGGGGTTGTAGGCAGAGGCGTCAAACGAGCTAGCATCAAGCCGATCTCTGCTGAACCTGCTGCGAAGAAACCTGCACTTGATTCACCATCTGTCCAAGGTGATAGCAGCATCAACTCTGAGGTTGTTCCTGCAACACAGAATGGTGATGAGTCCGTATCTAAGTAGAGTACAATTTCATTGGGCCTACCTTAATGTTAACTTGCTGGGACATATTAGCTTCCTATGTGGTACTGTTTCGCATAATGTGCCTCGCTGCTGGGCATTCTAGCTAAGCTATGTAAACGTTTGAGAATGGACTGCTGGACAGCTGGAGCCATAGACTCATCCTGAGCTTCTTGCCTTGTAAGATTAAATTGCTGAGATCACCATGGCGGTAAGTCATGTCTGCTATACCAAGTATGTTTAGTGAGATTTGTGCTATCTGATGTGTGTTTTTTGATGTCTGTTTGTTTCTCGGTTAGCTCCAATTATGAACTGTGAGGTAGTAGACCATCACTTGCAGATTCACTGCTTTGGCTGTTGAACTGCTACGATAGGATGGTTTGTTTCTTACGTTGATGGTGTTCTCTGTTCTGAATGAGCAATGATCAGTGAAATGTGCTTTAGTTTCAGCCTATTCCTGTCAACGCAACTTCAGCATCTGCGAGCTTCCTAGTTCCATGGAAATATGATACTCTGTTATGGTTGCATTGATTGTTTCATTTCTTCACGTTGTGAATAGGATTATTGTGAACCTGTTTAGGATTCTGACCTTGGCCTGTGTCAGTCACATCTTGCTAACATGATGCTCCGATCCAACCCACTGCCAGCCCCGCCGCTGCCCTGCAGGATGATGAGCTGCAGATCTCCGAGACTGATGACCACATCTAGAGCGAGGTAGAGCACGGTCTGCACGGCCACAAGGCAGGGCACTCACGGTCGGTTACTTGTTCCATGTCCAGCATGCTTCTCCATGGTGTTCCATGTTGCAGGTTGACGCAGACTACGCTACTAGCATCTTGTTGACACCACGACCGTCACAAATTCTCAGTAGGACAATAGCTTATTCGTTAGTACTAAAGAGGCACTGTACAAAACACTAGTAGGGTGTTTGGTTTGAGGAGTTAGTGAGTTAGTCCATCACCTAATTATTTCTCACTTTGTTTGTTTAGTTTTTGGAATAAAATATGTTGATGTATCATCAACTCATTTCCTCACAAGTTAATAATTAATACTAGTATAAGGAATGGAGTTGTCCCACCAAATTTGAGGAATGTACTCACGATGCATTGTCTCGTCTAGGATGGAGTGACTCCACAATCCAAAGACACTGTAGATGTACGAGTGGACCATGATCACCTATTCAGGCATGTATAAAACCTGACAGAATGAGCACCCGAAGTATACCACAAGGACAAGAAGCACAACCCAATAACTAAGCTAAAGGTCTTGACAATACACAATTAGCAGTAAAAGCCTCAGGACTGCCAATGTCTGGGGTTGCAATAATATAGGGTAGATTCAGACAAGTTCATAGGTTAAATTAACGGGGGAGTTCGCTCTCCTACCACTCGCGCACCATACCTACTGTTTGAACGTAAAGAGAACACAAGACCAAAAGAATGAAGGAACTGTGATTGATCTTGAGTTTTTATATATTGTGAACAGACGCCTCAAACGGACACGTCCATTCGGGGATTAGATGAGACCTTAGATTTAACAAACAATTAGATTTAATGTCTAGTCACTAATCCATGTCTTGCTTAATCCATGGAATGAGATTACTCCAATATGATTGGTTCTTAACACGCACTACTAGGCATCAGCCATCGATTTCCATCATATCCATATTGGCAGTCAAAGAGTCCACATTCGCTGCCTCATGACCTGAATCTTGCTGAGGGGCGCCAGCAGCTTCTTTGGAGGCCACATGTACCACTTCCTCTTTGATGGAAGTAGCAGTATCATTTTGTTGGGATCACAGGGCTTGAACAACATTCTTGCACATGTTTAAGTATCCCATGCTAGACCCTGATCTGTACATTGATGAGGTTGACCACCTCTGCAAAGTCGACCCAGTGTTGGTAGCTGACCTAGATAAGATAGCTGACCTAGAGTTGGTAGCTGACCTAGGTCAGGGGAGGCCTGGCCAATCCGACACCCACGGGTTGGGGAGAACCGATTGGCAATCAGATACCCATGGGTTGGTGTGAACCAGTTGCCAATCTCACACCCATTGTATGGGGAGAACCGACCAATCTGACACCTGATGCCGCTTTGGGCCTCCTTCTTGGTTAGAACACCTTTGCTGATCTCCTCGGTCTCTATCTCCCGAGCCTTAGCAGTCATGTTCCCGTTCCCGTTCCCGTTCCTGGAACGGGAACTTGGGATATCATTTTATAACGTGGGAACGGGAACTTTCCCGTTCCCGGAACATAGACGTTCCTGGAGCGTGGAACATGGGAACAGGAATGTGGGCCAAGTTCCCGTTCCCAGGCTACTAAGCTCCAAGCATGGTCGTATTCATGGAGGTCATGTCCTCATCATAATCCTTGCCACTTTATAAAATATCGCTTCATATTGTTTGATCCAGGCTCTGAAGAACTAGAGTATTTTTTGAGGGAACAAGAACTAGAATCTTCATGAGGGGCTTCCTGTATTTCAATATCAAGAATCTTTCTCCATCTCTGTCAATGGACTTACCTGAAAGTGACAAACAAGGTGAATTGTTATACCAACAGTATATGAAGCTTATATCAAGCATAAGTTGAAAGAGAGGTGTATGATGTTGCAAAGACATACACATTCTGGGAAGCATAAGCTTATATTAATCTTATCTGTTTCCCCACATCATTGGAAAGCTTTTTCTTTCTGCACATGTAAAATAGTGATGAACCAACAATGTAGAGATCGAAAATGAATGAACTAGAGAGATGAACTAGAGGGGATCAGGAAGTCAGAATAGTCTATCATGGACATTTAAATTACAGACAAGTCAAGATTTAGTAGCATGCCAGCATCTCATAGCTGAACTCAGCCCCAACAAAAACAGTGAGAGAAAGCACATATACTACGAATCGCCCCAAAACATAGAGAAGCATGCCAAGCCCCCCATCAGGTATGACACCACATCCTTGTGCTCGATCCGCTCGGCAGACGCGTCGTTCTGTCGACGCTTCTTCCCCTTTCTGGCCCTGCCCCATGGTGGGAGGTCGTCATCCACATGACTACAGTAGCAGTTTTGGAAGGTGGGCAAAAACATTTTTGGAGGCGGGTAACAAGCCCGCCTCCGCCAAATCATCTAGGTAAACAAGGATTAATAGATGCGGATGAATGCTGGCCTGCGTTAATGAATTAAAAAAATAAAAAAATAGCAAGTCCGTCGATTGGCCCACCGACCCCATCCGCAGGGCCCGCCGAGCCCATCGGCGCGCTTGCGGCCGCTCGCTGGATCCGCCGTGGCGCCGTTGGATCTACGCGTCCACCGCCGTCGAAGAGGCCTGCGCTTGCACCGTCGCCTGAGAGGCCCACGCTTGCCGGATTCGCCACCAGTGTGGCCGCGCGCGTGCGCCATCGCCAGATCTGGGTGGCTGCGAGCCCCATTCGACAAGGCTGCTCGTCATCGCCCAAGGGTTTTCAAGGGTATTCATTGAATAGCCATTATTTTTACCGATCAATGGTATTTAAAGGTACAATCAATCCTACATGTTAAAAAATAAGGCTGAATCAATCCTTTTGTTTACCTTTTGAAATTTTGAATACATGTTCTTCCAATCTTGGGCCCACCTCTAGTCGCGCTAAGCTATGGGATCTTCGAAACCTGGCAGTGAGCGAGCGAGCAACACCACTTAGATACCTAGATGCCTCCTCCAAGCTCTCATTCCACCTCTAGCGCCGCCGCCGCCTGATCCGTGAGGGCTAGGGTTTTGTGGTGGGTTTGGGGATCGGTGTCGAGGCACCATTTATACTACCAGCCTGGTTGGTGTGAGGTGCCATATGGGGGGAAGTGTGGGCAGATTTGGAAGGCAGTGATGAGATGATGGTCAGCGTGACCTGTGGGGGCGTTCGGTGTGACAAGGCGGGAGGGATGCAAGGGAACTGGTAACGTCCACTGCCGTACTGGAAGAAGAAGGACGATAGGAAGGTCTTGGAATTTGAACATTCTGCTATGTGCAAATTGAGTCACTGTGCAAAAAGCAAGTAGTTGTGGACTTGTTTCGAAAAAAATATTTGTTGTAAAATATGTTTTCTTCAGGTATCCACCTGATATATATATTATGCCACTAGGTGTGATATGTAATCATTTTTGTGATTTTTTTGAGTGTATTTAATTACTGCTAAAGATGTATGTTAAATGTTTCCCAAGATTTGTATATCTCAGTACAAGAAAAACATTTATTGCCTAGAGAGACCAGATCTGGTTTTGTCAAATGCAGATCTTTGTCAATGGCGTCCGGCCGCCCCTCCCCTTTTCTGTCACTTGAGCGTCAACACAACCAGGAGGCACCCAACATCCTCGGCACATCACTTATTTTCTACCAACTGCCCGACCCACTCTATGTAGATCTACATCTGCCTCGTTAGATGTTTGAACGAAAGGACAAACACGACATATTTGAATGCAGCTGTTATAGAAACATGTATGCAGTTTCTAACATATCTAAATCCTAGTATATGGAACCAACGATGAGAGGGAAAATAGAAAAAACTTAATTTATGGGATGGCGCAAAGATACTGGATGAAGGAAAACCAAGGGGAAAGCTACGATATAATGGCAAAAAAGCAAATTTCCCATGTCGTGGAGCTCCCTATAAAGAGAAGTTAGAGATGAGACCCCTAATAGATCCCCCAACAAGCAAAAAGTGCAGCCGAGTTTGGCCAAGGATGAAAAGACACTACTATTTATAGAGACGTGTGGTGTTTGGTAGCGAGTTGGAGACGTGAAGTAGTGTCGAGCGTGGACATTTTCTGGTAATTGTGGCCCTAGGAGTCAGGAGCACGGTGTGTTGATATAGATAGTAGTAGCAACCGGACATTTTCTGTTCTATAGTGGCTAGAGGAGTCATGAGGACGATGAGTTGATATAGAAAGGATTAGCAAGCAAACATCTTTTGTTTTGCTGTGGCTAAGGGAGTCACGAGGGCGATGAATTGATATATAAAGTAGTAGCAAGTGGACATCTTCT